GGAGAGAAGGACATCCATGGCATTGCCTGATTTGTTCATGGTAAAGAGAAAAGATAGGAAAATTCTATGTGATTTGGAATTTCGACTGGGAATAAGATTGTTTAGAGGGAATATTATCCGTAATGTGAAAGATTATTCCTTTTTGGATAGAATATCCTTGTTGGGCATTCCTATATAAAAGGGTTAACAGGGAGGAAAAAAAGATTCATCATGGAAGAAAAATTGTGAGTCACGTGCCTCTTAAAAAGAGCTTCTTTCTCTCTATTAAAATCTCCCTTTGCTCTCCTTTCTTAGCCCTAGGAAATAAACACTCATACTAATGATTCAAGAACTCTGTGGCTGTCCATCAAATGCTCGGAATTTGCTGCTATATATATTGTTCTTTTTGTTCTCATAATTAAAAGTCAACCTAAATTTACGGGCACTGAACACTCAACCTAGAGGAAGCACAAGAAAGGTAGAAGAGAATGGCAGAGATTGGCACCAATATCAAGAGGGTAATCAAATTAAAAAAGTATGTAATCTCTTTTCGATCCTTATGTTTTCTGCATTTTTGCTATGTTGGGACTTGGGATTCACCAGATGAATCTAACATTGATATCATAGTGCTTATGAACATAGTTATCAAGACAAAACTGAATTGGTGGTCCGACTAGTTGGATTGGCTGGTTTGGTCCAAGATAAAAACCAGGTTTGGTCGAAAACAGGTCAAGACTGATCTTTGACCAGTTTTGGCGGATCAACCAGTTTTAACCAGTTCCACCAGCTAGATGAAGTTAGGAAAATTTTTTAAATATGTTTTCATATTTTAAACGATTATGTCTATTTCTCTTTCCTTCTTTTAAAATTCAATTGAACTAGTTTGTCTAGTGGTTGGACCGGTTTTGATTGGGCCAAACCCCTTACTTGTTCGATAGCCGGTCTGATCCTGATAACATTACTTGTGAAAGAGGTTTGCCTCTTGGGTCGGATAGCCCATGTGGGTGGTATGCAAAAACATAAAAACCATAGTTTTTAAGGAGGTTTTCAGCTTATCTTTTAGTTTTTTTGGCAACCACTAGACCCCTAAGGGCCTGGCATGGACCTTTGGGGAGTCGAGCACACACATGCATGTTGGGCATGCACGGAATGGGTGCAAAACGAGCTCTGGGTGCTCGTAGATGCATCCTGAAATGTGTGGTCCCTTGGGTGCACCCATAAACCACAAAATGGCGGTGTTGATGCATTGGGTGCGCACCCACACTCTGGACCTTGTGGTCCATCATGGTGGGCCAGCATGTGTACTTAAGGGATAGTATTTTTCTCTTTGGTTGAGTGTGAGAACCTTGTTCTGGTAGTCCTATAGACTAATCCAAGGAGGACCGTAGTTTTCTAGTGACTTAAAAAGAAAATTATGTCAGCCACACATGTGGTGTGATAGGTGTGAGGTCAAGGTGATCTATAGGCTTTACATGAGGACTATGAATGATCTTGGCAGCTTCAATGTGTCTATTCCTTTCATGAAATACAAGTTTCTCAGAGATATGAATGACCACTTCATTGTCATTGTACAAAGTCATGGGAAGCTTAACATTAACACAGAAATCAGATAGATCATTTTTTGACCCACATTATTTCACATATATCATGAGCCATGTACCTGTATTCAGCGTCAGTACTTGATCTTGCCACCACATTTTGTTTCTTGCTATTCCAAGATACCAAATATCCTAAAACAAAGGTGCAATAGCCAGTTGTGATCCCCTGTCAGTTTGGCTTCCAATGGAATTTAGCATCAGTGTAAATAGCAACATCACAATGCTCTTGATTGGAGAATAATATCCCTCTCTATAGTTGTTGGAAACACCTGAGATTTTGAATCAACCATATTAAAATTGCAGAATCGCGGCTGGCTAGAAGATTCATGTTTTTCGAATCGTCATTCGTACAGGGGGAGTTGCGGTGATTCGTACTTTATAGGAATTGAGATTCGACCGAAATGGGATCGAGATCCCTACATATATGGAATTGAGATTCCTGCCTCTTTGGATTTGTTTCTAACCTATTCGGAATTGACGATATGAAATGAAGATTCCTTCATATATAAAAGCGAGATTTTGATATCTTTTGAATCGAGTTCTTGACGTATTTAGAATCATTATCCATACCAGTTTGGAATTGAGATTCATATCAGTTTGGAATCGAGTTTCAACCCACTTGGCAATTGAGATTTGTAACTCTATGGTTTTGAGTTTCAACCCCTTTAAGAGTCAAGATTTCTACATCAATGACATCTCACGCCTTAACAACTTAGAACCTCAGGAAGCAATCGTATTAGAGGTCTCTAAGACCTGAAGGGTTTTGTAGATATGAAGTCAATGTATGAACTACTGAGCTTCAGACACACTATCAGAAGGAAGGTCAATTAATAGATACTCGTAGTCCACTAGGGAAATTGTCTACAGAAGATATAAATATTATCCATGTATTCTTAAAATATGATTTTGATTTAATTATTATAATTTAAAATAGGATTTTGTTTGTGCCATGTTGTTGCCTATGTTGTAATCCAATTTGAACTTAAAACTCTTTAACCAATTATATTTTTTAAAAAAGGCACGGTTTGTATAGAGTCGAGGCTCAAAGCTCAAAACAATCAAATTAGATCCTACCTTCAAATAGTGTTGAGAAATGTGGTTTCAATAATAGCCTTAAAGTATATTTTCATCTTTATTTATAAAGTTTAAACATAAAAAATAGTGTAGATTGACAGATCTAGGAAAACTTGAAAATCTTGAAAATTGACGGTCCAAAAATGCGTTACAAAATACACTATTTCCAAAACTTGAAATCCTTTTTTTCTCATGTCCATGCATCTTGATGTCGAGATGATCAATTTGAGGATATTTGGGAATCAAAACAACCTCTTCTAGTGAAATTTTTTAGGTAGGCTCAAATTTGATTGTTTCGAGCCTCAGCTCCATATGAACTTTTCCCTTTAGAAAAAGGCATCCATTCCTAGAACTATTAGAAACGTGATCCGAGTTAGTCCTAGCACTATGAGAAATGTGATCCCAATTGAACCTAAATCTTTATTCCGATCACCTTTAAAAAATAGAAAGCCTTCATGATCTTGGACACCATGTTCTTTGAATTGTTATTTTTTTTGTTTTACTTACATTCAAGTTGTACGTAGTTCCTGCGGAAGAATTGCAAGTCTAAACATCAAGCACACACATGGATAGAGAGTGACAGCGACTTTTGACTATGGGAGCAGATATGAACTTTGGGAGACAATCGTCTCCAGTCTGGTTTGTAAATAACTCAAATCAAATTCTACAAATATTTGAATTAGTCTATTAAGTCACAAACTTGTGCACTTACAAATTAGTATTCGATTTCATGGCATTATGATTAAAAAAAAAAAACTAGATATTCTATGAGGGTGGAAGCAAGATTCAATGTTTGATTAGTTTGCTGTTTATTGCATCTACAAACCACAGTACTTGATGTTTAGGAATCTAGATTCAAAAACAATTGAATCGAGTATTGTTATATGTGCAATCCAAATGTAACAAATGTAAAACCGAGATTCAACAATTGCGGAATCAAGAATCAATAAATATTCGAAACAAGATTCAATAAGTTTAGGAATTGAGATTCTTAACTAAGGAATCGAGATTCCTAGCTTCATGGAAACACTTTCCGTGAAGATTAAGGTGAATGCGTTAAGTTGAAGGTGGCACAGACCATTTACTCCAATATCTATGCTAAGCATATGCAACGGGTGCTGGATGCTCATTTCTTTTTTACTAATGGGATTGTGGATTTGGGAGCATCAGAGCACGTGGTGAGGGAGGTAGATGGGTTGGTTCAACTTCCCCTGTTCTCGCAGCAGGCATAAGTGCTTGATGAGAAATAACACTAGGACGTGTTGGGCATAAGGTCTTTTGGATGATTGTTTTGTTTTGGTAGGACCATGTTGCTTTGATATGTGCTCTATGCTCCTTGGATGAGGAGCCCAATCTCAATGTCCAGACCCTCTTCAATAGGACTTCTAGTTTGATTTCTCAAAGGGATAGAGTTTAGAAAAACCATGTGTGAGTGCTTGCTTTAGTAGGGTTTCTTGTAGATGGATCATTTTGCTTTGGACTTCAAATGATTCTTGATGCACTTCATCTTCTTCCTGTTTTACTCTTCTATCCATGATGGTGTTTTTGTTTCTTCTTTATGGAATCCTGGAAAGGATCATATCAATAAAAGATGCCTAGAAGAGTTTTTGGGATCGTTAACCAAAGTGAACCTACCCCATGTCACAACATTGTTCAATGGAAATATTCGTTAAAAAACCCTTTATAAGTCACCGAGATTGAAAGAGCTATTAGATATCTTTCATCGAGACATATGTGGTCCTTTAATGTGAAGGCCTATGTCAAAACCCAATATGAATACTCACTCAATCAATAAGCATACTTAGTCTCACTTGAATCAGAGGCAACTTACTGCCAAAGGGTTTGATTTGGAGGTTGAGAACTAGTCACTGAAGAAAATTATGATTCTAAGAACTTGCAGAGGGTGTAAATATACATCTGAATTGTCTAGGACAGTTCTTTCAGTATCATGGGATTTGTCGGCAGGAAACGATATTCTACACTGTGCAGCAATATGGTATTTTAGAGAGAGATTCTTCCCTTACAGGACATTGGTGGGTCCATCATAGCAAAATCCAGTCTCTGTGTGAGCTCCTAGGACGGACTCTGCAGATTTTTGTGTGCATCTTGGATAGGGTGCCTTCATGATCTCTGTCCGAAACCCCCTCAAGAGCTACGAACCAGTAAGAAACCCCAAGCATATCATTTTGAGTCCTTGGGTGTTACTGGTTCTTGCCATCTCATCTGATAGTGGGGTAAATTAGAGGTTTTATATGGGTATAATCTTTGAATCTTAATATGCTGCTGCTCTATTTCACAAGTTTTGCAGTTTTAGTACCTTTTCTAATCATCTACTGTTTTGTACTGCAGGTTAAAGAATATCATCCAGATGTATGCAAACATGTCAGAAATTCACATGCCATAATGCTACGGGTTATTGAGGCGTATGGGGTACTATGTCAACTCTATTCGTCTCGACAAGTAAATGACAATTTTATTGAAAAAGATGTATAAATCAAATGGTACTCTAAAGAGTACATACAAGGATTCCATTCCAACTCTTAACAGCATAATATGCATCACTTAGTTGCTTGGTTTCAAAATTTTGAAGTTGCTGAAAAAATGCTCATTGTGGATTGTCATTATTGTTGTTATTTGACTGTGATTTATTAATCTTATATATGATTCTTGTTATTTGGGGTAGTTCCATTGTTTTGTCTGTCCATATCTAACTGATAGATTTACGTATTGAATGGGCAGGTTTTTTACTTAATTATGGTCCGTCTACTGTGCAGTCATGACCCATTTTCATCCATGTGGTGAAAAATACATCAAAGAACTTGTATCTAAGCTGGTAGTTACCTCCTTGCTTGTTTGTTGAGGTCAATAAATATCTCTACAGTGGCAACATGCACCTCTTTCACATAAATCTCCTCTCTCTCTCTCTTTCTCTCTCTCTCTCTCTATCTCTCTCCACCCACCCTTCTTTTCAATTATAACTTTCCATCTTGAACCCAAAGAAAAATTTTAGAATCCCTCTAGTCTGCCACTGTTAACACTAATGACTGTCCCCCTCATGTTCAAAGTCGTATTCCCCTTCCAAACCACACTCTACACCTCTCACACTCCTTGTGCTACCTCTTGTAATGATTCTCGATTGCATTTTGTCCACCCTTCTCACAATATCTGCACTCGTATCACTTTCTCTTTTCTTCCCATCACTACCTCTGATCATGCTGTTAACATGACGAGAATCGCGCTTGCCTGTAACAAAATCAAGGCAGAGATTCTACTCAGTAGATTGTTAGAGGTCTGCGCTATTTCTGTCGGGAGACCTTTGTAGGGATTTGATAGCTTAATATTTGTCTGTGAAGTTGGACCACAACTTGGTAGCGCGCGCCTGGCCCCTGTATTAGCACATGTCATGTGTCAAGTGAATCATTTTCGATCTGCAGATATAATCTTATTGTACTCTTTACTCTTTTTTTGGTGAAGTTATTTCTTGATACTTTCTAGTTTCATTCTATGTTTTGTACTCATTACTGTTTTGTCCTCTTTATTATATTAGCAGTTAGTTTAACTATTGAATTTCATTAGTGATTAATCTCATTCTAACATTAGAAAAGTACAAAAGCACTAGTTTATGTCTTGTATGCGTTTACATTGCGATGAAATTTTTGAGACCCATGTACCTGTATATTGTATGGATCTGCATGTAACATGTGGATTATCATATTTATAGGACCATATTAGTTCTGTGACAGATTTGAACCTCACCATATCCATTACTGTTGTATAAAGATTATGCTATTTTTCTTGTTTCAATCTATGTTTTTGTACTGTTTATATTGTTATTTTAGCATTTAGTTTATTTGAGTTAAATATTGAATTTCAAGGGATTAATATCATTCCTAGCACTAGAAAAGTAGGAAGCACAGGTTTAATACTGTACAACACAGTAATACTTGAAGTTTGGACGAAATTGTTCAGTCATATGCCTGTAACACATGTGGGTAACTGTATTTGTATTATTTTGTTAGGGATCTAGACAATAGCAGTGATATTTGCTTGTGCATAGACACACAAACATTTATGTGGGTTGTTGTAAATTTTATCCCTTTCTGAAATAATATCATATTTTTGCATGCCCACATGCAAATGTGTGTGTGTATATTTGCGCATGTGTGTGTTTGTGTATGTGCATTTGCCAGTGTGTTTATTCACTAATATGCTTAATGAAAGATAGATCTTTCATTCTCAAATCTTATACATCATATTAGAGGAAAGGTTCCTTGGACTCCAATCACAATTGTGCTTGTTGACTTCAAGGGACAAGTGGACATCATGAGTTGATCGATAGAGTCGTTTATTCCATAAAAATATCATGCTAGTTTATTGGCATGCCTAGGAGTCTGATGATGCTGGACTCTAACTAAATATATTTGTATCTGTTGATGATGGCTATAACGGTAATAATTGCAAGACAAAAATGTATAATGAGTTGTACACTGTAAAAGTCCTTTTCTAATACTTATTTCTCTTTTATTTTAAGTTAATAGGACATATATGTTCTATTTCAGTTTGTATGGGCAGTTTTTCCCTTTCACTATTTTTTATTAATATAGAAGTGGGTGCGTGAGACCTAATTGGGACTCTCATGTCACTCTTTCTCCTCTCCCTCTTTCCTTTCATCTCCTTTCCCCTTCTCGCTTTCCTATATGCATATATATAAAGTGACTTTACATAGGATGAGTGTAGCTAAGATGATAATGTTGAGATAGATGAGAGTGGCATGACAAGAAAGGATAGACTTCGTAATGAATACATATGAGGGAACTTAGGGGTGGCTCCCATAGCCGATAAGATGAGGGAAAGTAGACTTAGGTGGGCTGGCCATGTGCAGTGTAGACCTAATACAATACCGTTAGGAAGGGCAATTTGGTTCAAGTAGAAAGCTCTAAAAGGGCAAAGGGAAGGTTCAAAAGGACATGGATGGAAGTAGTGAGAAGAGATATGGTGACTTACGGTTTGCTGAGAGTATGACTTTTGATAGAGTAGAATAGTAGAACAAGATTCGTATAACGAACTTCAAATAATCCCTAAATAATTAAGATAATAATCGGATGATGATGATGATGATGATAAAGTAAATTCCCATATAGGATGGGTCTTTAGATGAACATGCATTCAGCCCCGAACCAATGTCTAAAATTCCCTTTGACCTTAGGTACAAATGATCGAGGGGCTATCACATGTGACAAAAAAAAAAAATGTTGGCCACATAACGAATACAAGTATTCCACGAAGGCCATAGCCATCCATGTTATGATGACTGAAGCACTAGGTGGCCCACTAAGGAGGCCACTCTTGGGCCTTGGGGGTTCATGTGTGGTCCCTTAGCCATTTGGACTCTTAAAATTCTCAAAAAATTAATTTTTGATCACAAGTAATAAATCCAAACTATTTTGGGTTCTTAGAAAACTCATCAAGGAGATCTAGGCACCTTGGGTTTGGAATCACTGAACTAGGACACTTCATTTGGCTCACCCTGGAACCCTCAACCATTTTCTTAAATTACCCATTGGGACCTATGACCTATAGTCTCTAGCAGGGGCTCATGATTGGCCCATCAAAACCGACTAGTAGGTTGTTGGATTTCGAGATTCAGTGTACTGCAGGACCCCCCCCCGCCCCCCCCCAAGGACAAGTGCACTGAGCACCACTCATAAATTTTTTTTTTTTCCCCGAGAAGGCCGGTTCCCATATAACACAGCTGTCATGCGCATGCTGCGGATGGGGTTGTATCGAGGGTTTGGTCCTTGCCCTCACGGGCCATCTCTTTTGTGTAGGATCACTGTGTTTTGTCTCTGATCAATGGCACACACCAACGTCAACTGAGGGATTATCCTTAAACACTCTCGACAACAATCTTGGCCATTGCCCACAACCCCGTAGTCAAGGGTTCCCATGACTCATAAATTTCTCTCCTAGTCCCTTGATGGCCTAGTTCCGGTGAATCACATGGGTAGGCGAGCCACCCAAATGTTCCCTTTCAGCACTGGAGCCAAGAAATCAATAAAGGTTATGTATTGCACAATTTTAAGGCTTTGAAAGGCCACACAATCCCAACATAATTGACATGTTACTTATTTCTTTTGAGTTCCATAGGGATAAAGAAGAAGGCCTCTAAAGCAGTGTTCAAAAAGATGGGTGCTGCTGCTTAGGCGGCTAGGCGCCAACCCAGGAACAAGGGCCCCCTTGCCCTGTCCCCATTCTCTCTTTTCTTTGTAAAAATATATGAAAGAAGAAAAACAAGAGAAAATATTAAAATATACAAAAAATAAAAATAAAAGCAATAACATGTAAAAATATCAAAAAAGGAAACGAAAAATAGCATAATATCAAAACATCACATGTTAATACCCCCAAAAAAAAAAAAAAACTGTAATTCAAAGTTTGTATTGCGCTGACTTTTTCAAAACGAATTCATTATAGATTCAAACCGCGAAATATTCATAAAACATTTCAAGCTTTCAACTACAAACATGTAAAAATATCATAAAAGAAAAAAAGAAATACAAGAATATCAAATGAAATCATAGTACATTATACCAAAAAAATACAAAACCTAATTAAAATATTGTAATGCACTAACCTTTTAAAAATGAAATTGATATCGGCCCAAACCGGTGATCCTTGGTCGCCAAAAGTCCTCTTATGCGACCACTCCAAGCTCGAAAAGCTATGTCGAGGTATTCCTTTTGTTTTCACAAGAAATCGAAAACAATGAAATATTTTTTATCTTGCCAAAAATCTCAAATCCCAAGTTTTTTGAGAGTTTTTCTATCTATAGTCTGCACAAGGGGTTTTGGGAGACTAGATTGTCCCCCAAACCCTTTTCCCCCCTTTTAGAAGGGGGGGAAGGGGGGGTGGGGCGAATCTCGAAAATGCCCCCGGCTGATGCCATTTTTTTGCCCTTGGCTTCCCTTTCACGGGAGCGCCACCTAGGCACCCATCTTAGGCCAAGCGCTTAGACGCATGGCCCCTAGGTGGCCCACCTTGGTGCTGCTTAGTCATTTTCGCCTTCCGACAGCCTACGTGGCCGCTTAGGCTGCCGAATTTTCAAATTATACTCTAAAGTAATAAGAGAAGTGCATTTTTTTTATGTGATTGTATACAATGAGACCATTTATCTTTAGTACAGGGAGGTCACAATTACTTACAACCATCTGATGTGAAATCTGATAGCTTGTGTTTGTCACAAAGTTCGAGAAATTTTTTTTTGAACTTTGAGCTTGGTCAATTAAATAAATGCAGCCACCCAATTTCACATCCAATGGTCAAGATTAATTGTGACCACCTTGTACAAAAGGTAAATGGTCTCATCATATACTTTCCCTTTTTTTATTGATAACTGCAAATTCGAATACCTTGAATGAAATCTGCCCTATTTTGGTTTTGGGACCTGACAAACATAAGTGGGTAATACAAGTGTAAATTATGTACACTTCCATACAAAAATTTTAAATTTGGACTTGGGCAGAAATGGGACAGGGCTCAAGATTGACTCAGGGGGACTTAACTCAAGTCTCAACAAGATTTAGCCAAATCTATTAAAAATAGCACTGCAACCTCGGGAACCAGTGAAACTAAACCAATTTTCTAGGTTTCCCATGGGGCCAGTCACCCTGCTGGCTCTGAATATGTTGGTTGAGTTTGGGTCAGACTCGTCGAGTTTTGCTTCATTGCTTGCATGCACACACTCATTATGGGAGTACTCTTATATGCAATATTGTACAAGCTGTGCAAATAGATGCATTAATGGCTGTGATAATTATGTCTATCTACATAGTGTGAACCATGTATCTCTAACTTATGTTTCCTGAGAATGTCGCTGTAGGTCACTGTTAGTTACATGACATCTTTAACACACATTTGTTATAAATGCAGCAATTGTCTGAGCAATATAATTGGCCTGAAATCTTTGAAAGGTGAGTTTGGAGTTTTTTTACTAGCTGTATACTTATATATTTACTTTCAAAGGGAAACTGTACAAATTCACGTGTTTCTTATCTTCTTTGGCTGCTTCAACATTACTTTGAGTTATACTTGATTGAACTTCTGTTTGTATCATATTCAGAACCTCCGGAGTACACAATACACCACAATATTATTCTCCAGATACATGAAAGAGAGGAGAGAAGGACAAGAGGTTAGAGGGAATGACGGAAGCTGTCTGGGCTGACGTCATTTGATAGTATCATGATGATGTAGTATTTCAAATTTAAAGGAAATAAAGGGTTAAGAAACAGCAGGTTAAGGGTGTGTATATGTCCATCTCACCTCGTGGTTGGATGATTTGAGATTGGATGGACAAGATTGGGCTAATCTCATCACACCAAAGATTTACACGAATCAATGGTTGATATTGCCTCCTATAATTATGTGCACGACAAGGTTCCAAGGGCGATGTGTTCCCTCCACCATTTTCTCTATAATAAGGAGGTAACAGCAACTCAATTTTGACTTTGATAATTCACTCTCTTACTAGAATTGAGTCTATGCCCCATCTTCCCTTCTCTCTCTAGGTTCCCCGCTCCTAATACTTCTCTCTCTAGGCTTCATCAAATCAGCTAGGTTAAACCCTAAGAACAACCAGGATTTCTACCACGCCAAGGCTGCATTGCGCAAGTTTAAGCCCTGGCTTAACCTAGTTCAAGCCTAAGGAACTCCATGCACACATTTGCAGGCATTCGATCTCATTTTGCAGCAATCAAGAAGAACTTTTCTTCTTGCTTCTTTGCAATTTTTATCTTAGGTTTCATCCCTAGTTTTTGATTTGACAATCGGTAGAATTTGTGTTCAATTTGACTTATGTTCATGAAGATCTAGCCTCATATGTCCAAATTTCACTATTGATTTTTTAGCCTGCTGAATTAGTCCCAATTCGATTCCATTAGCCCTCATTTAGATCACTATTTGGATGTATTTTCATCATGTTTTGATGCAGCCTTGCTGGTGTTAGAGGATAGGATCATCATGTGCAAAAACCATGGTGGAATTGGATCAATGCATTTGAGTATATGTTGCTGATTTTGATTCCTAAAATTTCGGCAATATATTGTGATGATTTGACCTTGATATCGCTTTCATTTTGCGGCAATTAGATCATATGATGCGTGAGTCTGTAGATGAATGATCATTGATTTGGAATGCGTCTTGCTCATCTAAGAGGTTCGAGTTGGTCATATATATGCTGCTGTATATGCACGATCTTCATGCATCATGTTCATAATTTTTGTGATCTCCAAACTCATTCATATAGGATCTTGATTTCATGGTTTTTTCCATCATTTTGCTGTTATCTTCCATATGATCAGTGAGTTCAATTGAAGATTATGAGTGTCCTCAAAATGTTTGATTATAGGCATCATATAGCTAAGGCTATGTGGCTGATTTTTCATCTATCTGTGTGCTAAGTCTTGTGGTAGATTTCATGCTATAGCCTTGGTCAATTGTTCAAGCAGAGTGACGAGTGGAAACGACTTTCAAAACACATGAAGGCTTGTTCGAGTGGCTAGTCTTGCCATTTGTTCTCTCCATTGTGCCAAGTACCTTCATACTGGTAAGGAACCAAGTGTTTCAACCCTTCATTGGTAAAATTTGTGGTCATTTATTTTGGTGACATCCTTGTTTATAGGTGAAACCAAAAAGAGCATGTCGATCATTTAAGGCAGGTCTAACTACACTATGTATTATCCTAAAAAAGTCTGCTTTTATGGCAGAATGTCTAGTCTTCCCAGAATTTGTTGTGACCTCGTTAGGTATTCGAGTAGATGAAAACAAAATTAAGATGATCCAAGATTTGTCCGACATCCCAAAGCATCTATGAGGTGTGGAATCTCTAATTTATGTTTCTGGGTCCGGGTTCGATATTTTCGGGTCCGGTTGGGTCCAAGTCAGGGTTCAGTTCTGGCCGGATGCAGACCTGACCTGACCCGTTGCACCCCTAGCAAGGTGAAGGCCAAAGGGGAATCTTTGATGGAAATAGTGAGAAGAGGTATAGTGACTTATGGGCTGACGAAGGGTATGGCTTTGATAGAGAAGAGTGGCAGAACAAGATTCGTGTAGCCGATCCCAAATAGTTGGGTTAAGCCTTGGATGATGATGATAAGATTTTCCCCTATAGGTATCTGCTGCTAGGGTATTAAGAATATATTGATTTGCCCCTGCTGCTACCTGCTGCTAGGAACTTAAGATTATATGAACTCTACCCATGCAGACAACTGCTGCAAGGGATTTAAGAACGTTAGTTCTGCCTTTTGTGGTTTTCTGTTGGTAGAACTTTACATATCAAAATTGTCCCTATGGCTGCTTGCTGTCACGGACTTCTTACAGGGGCATTATTTCATGGGATCTATGTAGATAGGAGTAATGGATTATAGCTTTAGTCTCTTTACCAATGCCCACTTACTAGGGCTTCATTTCATGGGATCTTATGGATAAGAGTATTTGATTATATCTATAGGAAGACCTTTGATAAAACTACGATATATACTTGAGCTGTTTCGGGATGAAAATATTTGTAAGATAAGGATCTCAAGGTTTCTTTTTCTTTTTAAATGGAGTTTAGGGGCTTTGTGGACTAAAATGACGAGCCATTTTGGCATGAGATGTACATGTTGCATGGGCCTGGTATATTATGTATGAGATGTGTGGCTGATAAATCCACAAGGTACGTGTATTCTCATATCTTGTTTTTATTCTGATTTTTTATACCAAATATATCCTTATCTGAAATGCAAATCTAACTAAACAATAAACCACTTGCTTAAGCAGAGAATCTAAGGCAATTAATTTTATTTCCTTGAAAAGCCCTTTTAAAAGCTGCTTTCAAAAACCTCAGAAGATTGTGCTAGCACTAAAAGTAGATCCTTCTACACGGTGCTCCATGACTACCCTTTGATCATTTCTGAACCTTATGCCATGACCCACATGTACTTCCGTGCAAGTGTCTCATGCTTGGCTTATCAAAGCTGGCCAAAGGTGCAGAGGTGCTACAATTCCATAGACTACAAGTGCTCTCCCCCAAGGACAAGTTTTGGGTCTAGTGCACAGACCAAAAATATTTGTATAAGAGTTCTGATGTTCCTTCCGTGTATGAGAGGGTCTCTCTTGGTCATAGACATGGTAACAATCACATAAATCCAAAGCTTTCCAAGATCTCACAAATCTGAGGGAAATAGTAGCACTCGTGCTTTGCAGAATTTCCATTGCCGAGGTTTTTAGGCACTTGTCACAAATCCCCCTATACATTCTACACCGCAGGAACCTCTTTCATCTCTTGACCAGCTAAACAATATCCACCTGGGCTGCCGCGCACCTCGACAATGTACACGTGGATCCTCTTTGGCCATGCTTATCATGGGACCCAACAGCCCCATGTGCGGGTTCACTCATCTAGCATAGCCTAGTTGCAAACCAAGGGAAGAGTGATGGAGCCCACTGTCCAATATAGAGCCCAGCTCCCTACTCATGCCCTGCTCTAGGTATGCAAGTAGAGCACAGTCCCATTCACACTGAGAGTAATCCATAAACATAAAGCATGAAGACACATATATGAGGCAAACGCAATAGAGCTTTTGTTAAAAAAACAATTATATACAGGCATTTAAACACCATAAAGCCATCAGAAGAATTTTCAAAGGTGCACTGCTTTTTGTGAGACACGTCTAAATCAGTTCACATGTTCCTTTTTTCTATGTTTTATTAGATATATAATTTATTTTGCATTTTGCTTTTATCAATGCCTCATCTTGGTTGAAGTGTAACTAGGCATAAAATTAATTTTTTTTATTGTTGTGCTTGAGCTGCATGTATTTCTAATTACAAATTCATCTGTGGTCATTGTAGGGAGTCTTTTGATCCTTTTGAAAAACCTGAGTGCGAGGCATTGGATTTATTTGTCAATGGAACTCTGTGTATTGGTAAAGGTATTCATACTTAATCCAACTATGTCCCATAAAGCACTTCTAGCTGCTGTCAAATTATATAAAATCCTCAATTCCGCTATAAATTCCAAATCATGTGCCCTTTTTATCTCCTTTGCATGTAGTTATTTCCTTCCAAATGCACAACCATCTTAAACTTGTGTGTTCTTCCTCAGTCTTTGAACAGTTTGACTTGTTCAATGATGTGTGGCGAAATGGATTCCCATATTTAGTGTGTGCTATATTTGTAACCTCCTCATGTTTTGTTTTCATAAAATTGGTGCACTTAAATTTACTTTACCAAGTGTTGAAGTATTTGGGTGATATTAATGAGTTGGATTAATTCTGGTTCTTAGGGTTCAAGGCCATAGTTCAACCGGAAGGTTCTTGATGTTACGGGTTGGAACTCAGCAAGTCCATCAAAGAAAAAATATAATGCTTCCATTGTCTATAAACTGTTGCTGGCCTCTGTACATTGGGGCTGTAAAGGTTTATTTATAAACTTTATTATAGCAAATAAAAAGAACAAGTGTCCCAACATTGGGATGCTGTTATCAAATAATTACACTTCCAACCCACATATGATAGTGATAGAGAACAAAGAAACACATTCCCAGGAATATGGGAACAGGTTTCTAGGAAACATAATATCCCTGAAATTCTGTGGATCGGGTTTCTATAGTGGAAGCCCAGTGCTTGTGAAGTGTTCGTGCAGCTTGTTTATTTGTTAAAACTTTTGACTTTCTGGAATTTAGACACTATTCTTGTAATGTGTAACTTCTGCCGTTGTTCTGTCTGAAATGGATAAAGTTCATGTGGCTTGCATCTTTTGCTTTGTTAACAATTAGCTTCAGTACATTTATACATGTGAAGCTTTGATATGTTTATTAAACTGCACACTGATTAGCGTAAATACAAGTTTGTTGCTAATTTTCCATTTTTGAAGGATGCCCATATTCATGTGTTAGAAGGGCACCTCATGCCTTTGCATTTGCTCCCGCAACTGGTACTGCACGTGCGACCTTACAAGGTAAGATTATACTTCCTACCTACCTATCTTTCACTTCTGTTTCTTCAAAATTCTGTAGGTTAGTTTGCATCTTTAAGTTCCTACTGAATGTTGTATAATGTGCAAGCAAAGTCTAAAAGATACGAAGTCAAGTCATGTTGTTTGTTAGTAACTTGGCTGAGTATCTTGAGCATTGGATAATTCTCGGCAGTCAGCTCAAGACTGTCCTGAGTTCCTAACTGAGTCCATCTTTATAAACTGTTCAGGTATCCATAATTCCATAGTGTACCGATTTGTAGGTTTTGAATAAGTGAGGGTATGTTCTTTGGATGCTTTGAAATGATTGTTATGGTAATATTTGGTCACATCCATGTGACGTATGAATTGCTGAAGAGCCAAACTTCTTGGCCAATTTTCATTTCTCATGCCCTTTTTAGCCTGCTATCCCTTGATATTTTGAGTAAGGGATACTTTCTTTCTTCATATTGAGGAAGAAAGGAACAGTAAAAAAACTTCAATATGTGTGAGGAGAGTGTTGACAGAAGGTTAGCATATGGAAATGAAGGAGTGCTGCTATTATGGTAATTTTAGTTAGATGTGTTGGACTCAGGTGTGTACAAGCTAGAGGGGCAAAATGAAACCATGTGTCACATACCATCTCTTTGACTTATCTGGAGTTTTATGCACATATTAATGGACGAAACAAATAGGTCAACCTCTGTAATGCGTGCATGTGCGTGTGTGTGTAATTAAACCACTCCTTGGAAAAATTGTATTATGGGGAAAAAAAAAAAACAACTAAAACTTGCACCCTAGGAAAGGTCCAAAGTAAAGGTTAGTCGTAAGTAAAGGCTAGTTATAGCACCTTTATATCATGTGACATCTTGATCAATGTATAGCCTTAAGTAAAGGCTAGTCATAGCACCCCACCCTTATATCATGTGAATATTTAAGGAAAATAATATAATTGTCGAACATATGGACATCTTGATCAATGTATAACCTTAAGTAAAGGCTAGTCATATCACCCGTATATCATGTGAAGATTTAAGGAGCCCACTGTTCATAAATGAGAATCGTGATCATTCATTTATCTTGTACTCGACATGGTATGTAGCCGTAGAAAAACCGACACTAATGAGCTAGGGTTATGTTCTCTTGGAGAAACAAACAGCAGGTAAAACCAGCATAAGAAGGTACCAACACCAGAAAGAATCAATCAGTGATATTCAGTCCATTGGGAGCCAAAAAGAGAGTTGAGGGGACTGGGAGCTTGGTGAATCTAGTTGAGCAAATGATTTTGGGGAGAAGGCGGTGCAGAAGGTTCAGGAATCGCAAATGACTTCTATGCTGTAGACATCTGGTGTCTCTTTTCTAATGTATCTTTCAATGGCATGAAGGAGACTTTTGTAACCCGATGTGGTGGAATCTCAATTGAACAGTAATTGACTATTTCCACCCAAAGTCCGACACTGATCATGATTGCACAAGAGCTGTTTGGGCTGAACCGCCATGTTTAGAAAGTTCACTTCGAAGAGTGAAAGTGTAATGTGGAATCTGAGTACAGACGATGACAACTCACGTTTTGCGATAATGCGATCAGGATATTAATGAGATAGTTTGATGATACTTTCAGTCATAATTATAATAAAAATATTAACGGAATTGCATCGAAATTCACTTTTTATGAGCTTGTGCTACTGTTAACGTTGGTTATTATTTCAGCTGATCTGTCTGAAGCTTTTAATGTCGAATATTATATCAGCTTTAATTTGTATGTTTTATTATGTCTGATTGCCACAATAGACTGCTTGTCCTCTAGAATAAGAATTTCACCTCATATCATGAATGTTTGCAGCGCATGGTGATGATTACCAGGTCCAACTTGCTGTTGGGCAATGCCCTAGAAATTGCATTCACTATGTTACACCTTCTCAAAGAATTATCCTAGAGGAGCTACTGGAAAGGTGTATATGTCTTTATATGAAATTTAGATAGAAGTTCATAAATCTTGCGTTGTAAAACTTAGAATGTTGTTTCCCCTATTCCTGATCTCTGTTTTCCTCATTCATGACATTGCAGTATCTTAACCTCTCCTCTTTTTCCGCCTGAAGCTACCATATTGGATTCTCTCATTGCCCGTGCAAACTTTGAGAATAACAGGTACTCCAAGCCTAAAAGGAAGCCCAAGGGATCAACACAATACGTGGACTACTATTGATTTCTTCTCACTCTGAATAGCCTTCTACCAAATGCAGAAAGCACAAGTTATAGAGTTTGGATGTGTTAGTCAGGAAATATCTTCCTGCACAGCTGGTGTTAAGTTTTACCATTATAGTCTAAACGGGGTCTTATCTCCTATTTTTTTCATTCTCTTGTATCAATTGAAATTTTTCAAGGATATTTAGTTATGGGTGCGGTTTGTATAGAGCCTAGGCTCTAAACAATCAAATTAGAGCCAACCTTAAAGTAGTATCGAGAAATGTGGTTTTAATACTAAAAATCTTTGTGATAACCTTATAATATATTTTCATCTTTATTTATAAAGTTTAAAGCTTAAAAAATAGTGAAGATCAACAAATCTATGTAAATTTGAAAAATCTTGAAAATTGACGGTCCAAAAATGCGTTACAAAACACATTATATCCAAAACTTGAAATCCGTTTTTTCTTATGTTCATACATCTTGATGTCGAGATGGTCAATTTGAGGATATTTGGGCATCAAAACAATTTTTTTTAGTGAAATTTTTGTGGTAGGCTCCAATTTGATTGTTTAGAGCCTCGGCTCAATACAAACTTTTCCCTTTAGTTATAGCTTTATTGTCCAAGGTTCATTTTGAGTCAATTCTGTTCAGTTCGTCTCTGTCAACAAAAATGGAGGTTAAATCCTTTGGTGGTTCATATCCTGCAAAATGAGAACTATTACTAATTTGACATGGATTTAGATGCACCTCACAGTAGTCATACCCAGGGTTTTTCAAAACTTGGTGTTTTGCTAGAGTCATTTGGAACCAGTCCCCTTGTCGGGTCCAGGGGATTTCAAATCGGCTTCCGTAGGCTCAGGTTCAGAACCAGCCATGCTCCTCTCTTCGTGTTTGACTCAGGTGAGTTCCTGAGTCTTGTTTAAGTTGTGGAAGACCTATCGAGTCTGACCTTTTTTTTTTATTTCCTGTTCTTTTGTTTGAAAAAAAAGGAGAAAAGTTGGCATATTTGAGCGCTTGCGGTATATCAAGCCCCAAATTTTATCTTTGGCTTCGTAAGCACTTTTGTCGAATTGTTAAACACGATTTGCAAATGATGACCAAATTTCAGAGAATTAAAATCCATTGTTTGAGTTCAAAAAAGCATTGCCAAGCCCCAGATCCTGTCAATCCGAAACCTAGACCCAAAAATACTTTGGGGTGTGGATGCTAGGAGTTTTTATGGCATCTACAGCTGGTATTCAATTTCACACCATTGGCGTTTTGCAAATTTCATTATTTATTTCTCAGAATTAACAAAACTGTCATTTGTGTTTGATTTCTTCATATTTAGGTCTCTGGGCTACATTTCAGCTGCATCTAGTTTTTCTTTGCCGACCAACAGCTCAAACATGCATTTTTTCCCTTCGAATGTGTACTCCACATTTGTGAGTGATATGTAGAAATTTTGCAAAAATGGGAAAGATGTCGGTTTTTAATTTTAGCATGAATTATATATATTTTTGTCTCATTTTATGTTATCTAATTCATTATTAACTAAGGAAAAAGTTTATATAAGGTTGCAACTTTAAAAGCTAGAATTACATATGCACCTCAAAAGTCTATTGGGGAGGTTGTTTTAATATTGAAAAACCTTCTAATTGATCATCTCGATATTGAGATGTATGACTATGAAAAAAAGAAGTTTTTGAACTAGTGCATCTTGCAACACATTATCTAGACCGTCCATTTCAAGATTTTCATATGTTATCGATCTACTTGATTTTAACCATTTTTGGATTTTTAAATTTTTTAATTAGATATGAAATTAGATTTTAAGATAATCCTAAGAAGTTTTTATAACAAAATTACATGTTATGATAAAATTTGAAGGTGCGCCTTCATCGGATTGTTTGTTTAAGGTTGCAACCTTATAGAAATCACACCCATTAACTTATCATGAATCTTTATGAATGTAAAGGTTTTTGAATGTGTCCCTTTTTTTTTTCTTTTGTTTTGGTAAAACCCTATGGTTTAATGCTTAATGGTGTTAATCCCCACCCAAATGCCCTCATGAATTATATTTTTTTTGGTCTCATTTTATGTTACCTAATTTATTCTTAACTTATCATAAATCTTTATGAATTTAGGGGTTTTTGAATCTGTCATTTTTTTTTTCTTTTATTTTTTTTTGATAAAACCGTATGGCTTAATGCTTAATGATGAAAATTCCAACCCAAACGTGCTAAGATTGGGTGCAATCAAAATGGTGTTTATCAAAATTTTGTATTTCGAGTATTTATTTATGAGATTGTATACTATGAGATCATTTATCTTTGTTTGTTACAAGGAGGTAACAATGGTTCCTAGCCATCACATGTCAAATTAGATGGATAAGAGTGACTGTGGTCTTCTTGTATTAAGTAAATATGAGAAAGGTTCATATAAGGTTGTAACCTTACACTATAAAAGTAAGGTGCACATAAAAAATCCAATAGAAAAGAGTTTTCCGAAGTTAGAAAACCTTTCAATTGATCATCTTGAATTCAAGATGTATGGATTTATAGGAAAAATAGAATTTCAAGTCCTACAAAGAGTGTATCTTGTAACAGTGTCTATTTTCAAGATTTTCAAGTGTTTATGGATTTGTTCAATATGTATCATTTTAATAATTTTAAATTTCATAAGGACGCTTAACATTGGTTGGAACTACATCTTCCAGCAAAATTGAAAGGTGCGCCTTACTTGTAAAGTATAAGGTCGACACCTTATACAAAACTCACCCAAAATTTATTGATTTATTTTGTGTTAGTTTACATTCCAAGGCAGCTTATCTGACTGTTTTTTTTTTTGGTTCAAAGACGAGCTGGCTCGGGAGATGGGGGTTAGGGCACGACGGATAAGATGGGATGCATGTCCTGTGCAAAGGTGAGTAGCAGTAAACATTACCTAGCACGGATGAGGGGTGATGTTGTGCCCTATGATAAGGTGTTAGAGAATGTAAGGCGAAAAAATGCTAGCAATTATCAGTCATAAAGGAGAAGAAGATGGTTTGAGGAGACTAGTAAACAAATATCATGCCCCCATCCAAGAGGGGTGATGCTGAGGAACTTGAACTTGCAAGGGAGTATCGCCAACAGAGTGGTGGACATGGGGTGAGGTACCTTCCCCTAAGATAAAACAGGGGTGACCATCATGTTAGTGGCTGGAGGGATGTAAGTGATTATTTTTCAATTTTTGATTATGTGTCAAAAAAATTGAAAAATAATGATGGTCATCCCTGTTTACGAAGATGGATTGCGAGCCACACCACTAGAAGCATGACAAGTTAGATGGGATTGCTTCCTTAGCGGCACACTCTGCCGCAAAACTGGTGGTTGTGACTCCTCAGACCCAATATCCCCCAAGACCTCTTTCTTCTTAACATCGCTGCCACCTCCTTTCAAACGCCCCACCCACTGGCCGTAAGGGACAGTAGCCAGAGTGAGGGCCGCTGCCAATACGCTCATTCATGTCTTGGATGGGTCGACCCTCAACCCCGGGCTCAACATGTGCCGCTTCCCAATGAAGAATAGACCATATAATCAAATAGAGACTCCATCTCAGGCTCAAGAACCAAAACGCAGAAATAATAAAAAAAAAGGGGTCAAACTTCGGCCACAAATCTCTCTCCAATTCTCCAGATAATCAAGAGTGTATATCATAGGAAAAGCGGGAGGGGCAGATCCTCTACCTTGCTTGGTCTCTCATTTTTGGTTGGCATTCACAGCTCTCCAAAAATGAGTCGCATTACTGTAAGAGTGTTTCTTTACGTTCCACCAAAACCAGTAAGTCTCAGTTGCTAATGTGGGACCACGAATTTGCTCACCCCAGTCATATCAAAGCAACTTGACTAGGCTGCCTTCACATGACTGTCCTCCCATGCCTCACGTCTCCCATAAGGCCCAACTTCCTCATCATCATTCTTCCGCCTTTTCCCATACCGCTTCTGAAAGAGCACGGGATATGAGCAACTTTGGTCCAATCCCTGGTGTTGAGCAAACTGATTAAGGTAGTATGCTTCCAATTTATTGTCATTGCCCAGGCGAGGAGGTAGCTCAATTATACAGAAATACAGTTTCTCACAGGATGCAACCCCGAATACTCAGGAGATACATCAACTCTTGGTCAGTAGTAAGGGCCCATCAAGGGTATGACCACTTTGGTCAAACAAGGTGTGATCAGTCAAACCCCTGATACCAAAGCTTTTCTCACGAAATCCCTAGAAAACAACTTGCATGCAGAGCCTGGACCATGAAAGTGCACCCTCATGCTGGATATCTTCAGAAACTGGGAGCATGCACACCCAGCTAGGTCGCCATTGAGGTGGTATGTGTCAGGGAAATAAGTCGACAATGACCCAAACACGTAATGGACTGAGAAAGTAGTCTTGCACTGCCCGGGATTAGTTTTCTTCTTGGCTGGTCTTTCACTGCTATCCATTACTGGGCCACCCTCATCCTCAATAAAATTTTTGAACTTCCCACAGTAAATGGCTCCTAAACCGTGGTAGATACTACATAGAACTGGTTGTGCCAAAGCATACCGATGCCCACTGCCATCTCGCAGACTGCATAAAAAACTTATGTAGATGAAATCACCACGTGAGGATGGAAGAGCAAAACTTTTTAAGAAATATGGCTATATAGGCGGCCAAATAAACATGGTCTTTTTCTAACCTTCGGGGAAGAATAACTAGTAAAGGAGTCTTCCTGTTCCTCTTTTTGGACACTGTCTAGGAGACGTCTTTCCCGCCAAAGACGTTGTACTCGGGCTCGGCATCCTACTTTCCATTCCCTCGGAAGAAGGCTCACATCTCTACCTTTTATTTTGTTCTTCAGCAGCTGGTAGATGTTGAAAAGCTTGTAAAGTCTCGAAGGAGGTGCCACCTCGCCGGTTAGATGGCCTCTGTAAATGACATCGTAGCCAGGTACGAACTCATCATACATCTCTCTAAAGAAAGGCAACCCACTAATAAAATACATGCCGAGAAGGGAGATGCCCTCCTCTTTATAATCAAATAACCAAGTGTTGCTCACGTTATTCCATGCCTCCAGGAGGGCCTTCATCATGTTGGAACATCAATCATAGTAACCAGCAGAACATTGACTTGCGGTTAACAACGGAGCAGAATCCTTGAAATGCTACAACAAGTCAAAAGTCCTAGAGCAATACCCTTTCATATACTGATGCTCCTCTTGAAAATAGAGCCCCTTCAAGGACCACACCAACTCATCCGATGCCATCATCCTCTTCC